AATCCTTAAATCCTAGGGGATGAGTAGGAGTTGGCCTGGGTAGCAAGCAACAAGTTGGCCTGGACAGGGATGGTAACACCTGTAGAGGCACTGGCACATGGAGTATTACAGCAAATTTGAGATAGTTCACTTTGTTTTGAATATGGAAATAGGACATTGAAGAAGAGCAATTGATATTGGATTGAAAGGAGGACCCCTCTCTCTTCCCCATCGTCTTTCCAACTTTCCTTTCCTTTTCTCAGTTGAGATGCGGAATAGTTCTACAAGTCCCCTGGTCTAATTAGATGTCCAGTAGTGTGCCCATTTTACAACTGACAAAACTGAAGGTCAATGAGTTAAGCAACATGCTTAATTTTTTCTCTTTCTCTTCCTTCCTCCTATATTTCTTTTAAAACTGGATAATTAAAACATGTCTTCTGTATTCTTAGGTGATTTAAATATCTTATTTCTTAGATCAAGAAAGATCTTACTCATTAGATCAATAGAGCCCTTTTGGAAAGCTGATAAGATTAGATTTCTTGATGACATTAAAAAAATCTTTATGAGGCAATAGTATCATTCATTTTTTCTTTTTTAAAAGACAGCCATAAAGGCTGTGAGGTTTTATTTTAAAAAGCTTTTTTTGAGGCTGGGTGTGGTGGCTCACACTTGTAATCCTAGCACTCTGAGAGGCCTAGGCAGGTGGCTTGCTTGAGCTCCGAAATTTGAGACCAGCCTGAGCAGCCTATTTTTAGTCTCTACTAAAAATAGAAAAACTAGCCGGGCACTCTGGTGGCACCTGTAGTTCCAGCTATTCAGAAGGCTGAGGCAAGAGGATTGCTTAAACCCAGGAGGTTGTTGTGAGCTATGATGCCCTGGTACTCTACCCAGGGTGACAGAGCGAAACTTTGTCTCAAAAAAAAAAAAAGCTTTACTGAGGCTCAGGGTTGTGGCTCATACCTATAGTTCTAGCACTTTTGAAGGTTGAGGTGGGAAGATCACTTGGGATCAGGAGTTTAAGACCATCCTGAGCAACATAGCAAGACCCTGTTTCCACAAAAATAGAGAAATTAGGCTCAGCACTGGTAGCTCAAGCAGCTAAGGTGCCAGCCACATATACCAGAGCTAGCAGGTTCAAATACAGCCCAAACTGTCAAAAAACAATGACAACTACAACCAAAAAATAGCTGTGGCGAGCGCCTGTAGTCCCAGTTACTTGGGAGACTGAGGCAAGAGAATCACTTAAGCCCAGGAGTTGGAGGTTTCTGTGAGCTGTGATGCCACTGCACTCCACCCAGGGTGACAGCTTGAGGCTCTGTCTCAAAAACAAACAAACAACAACAACAACAACAAAACAGAGAAATTATCTGGTTATAGTCCTGGCTACTCAGGAGGCTGAGGCGGGAGGACCTCTTGAACCCAGGAGTTTGAGGTTGTAGTGAGGTATGATAATATCACTGCATTCTAGTTGAGGCAACAGAGCAAGGTAGAAAAAATGGAAAAAAATCAAGAAAAAATAAACAGAAAGAAAAGCTTTTTTAGAGTAGATGGCCATGGCGTCATAGCTTGAAGCAACCTCAAATTCTTGGACTCAAGTGATCCTCTCAGCTTCCCAACTAGCTTGGACTACAGATTCCTAACACCACGCTTGACTAATTTTTGTATTTTTAGTAGCAGTGGTGTCTCCCTTTTGCTCAGGCCCATCTTGTACTCCTGAACTCAAGCAATTCACCTGCCTTGGCTTCCCAGAGTACTGAGATAACAAGTGTGAGCCACCACGCCTAGCCAAGAAAAACTTTACTGAGATACACATTCACATTCCATGACATCAAGCCATTTGAGGTACAATTCGAAAGCTTTTAGGACATTCACAGAGCTGTGCATCCATTACCACAATCATTTTAGAATATTTTCATTTTCTTAAGAAGAAACCCTGCCCCCTAGGCCATCACTCCCATTTCCCAGCCTTAGACAGCCACTAATCTACTTTTTGTCTCTATAGATCTATTTCTTCTGGACATTTCACATACATGGAATCTTATAATATGATGTCCTTTGTGATTAACTTTCATTTATCATAATGCTCTCAAGGTTCATGTTGTAGCATGATCAGTACTTTATTTCTTAATGCCAAATAATATTCCATTGTATGTACATATACTACATTTTATTTATTCATTAATCAACCCATGGACATTGGGTTATTTCCACTTTGGGGCTATTATAAACAATAGTGCCATTCCGTGCTGTGTTTGTGTTATTTTTATTGTACTAGCTCACGAATGTGATTAACTTTGCAAATCTGTACTTACAAAATATATGACACCAAGGTGCTTGGTTCTGGCTGAGTCTATCACCTCCTCTAGATCCAGATAGACACGAGTGGAGGCAAATATAGGTGCTGTTGGTAAATGGGTAATGTTAAGTGTTTGTAACCTGGAGTGAAAAGCCTCAATTATAACAGATGGAGAAAATCATTCTCTAGCTATTTTTAAATGGGACTACAGTCCATTCCAAATACATAGTTTCAAATAAGAAGAGAGATGAGGGAAGAACTGATACCCTAACCAGATGGGTATCATTTTTCCAAAGTCTCTTCCGGCTGCATTTAACATTCTAAGAAAGGATGCAAGCAGGCAAATAAATGACTTCAAAGTACAAAACAAATGTACTTTGAAGAAATCTTGAGAAGTCTCTTGCTAAGTGAAAGGAGGACAAGAAACTTTTGGATTTAATCTTACAGAACATTGCAAGTCAAAGACCATTAAATTGTGTATAACATACAATCCCTCTTTTGCCAGACAGAGAGATTTCCTGATTGTACTCTTGAGATATTATAAAGCGTTTTCAAGGCTGCTGTTAAAGTAGAGAATTGTGAATTGGTAGGTTTTCAAGTAAGTTCCTGTAGATCTCAGTCTGGTCTAAAGTTTCCTGTTTTTACAATTAACTCCTCATGTTTCTTTGTTGCGTATGTGTGTGTATATGTGTATGTGTATATGTAAAACCTAAAGATAGACCAGGAAGCATCTGGGACCATATGGCTCTAGAGGGGAATCCAGATTTCTGTGAGGGCTGAGTACTAAATGCAGATAGATAAAAACAATGCTATCTTAATATATGACTCCTGTGATAACCCTTCAGTCATCACTCCCAAATGCGCTTAACCGGCTGTACTTATTGTTAATACTTTATGGGTTTTTCATCTATGAATGTAGCAGGTTGATCTGTTTTAGGATTAATCCCAGAATAGGCATGAATACACCCATGTTGTTTTGTCAAACCTTTAAGGAATTATAAAGAGAAGTGGACATGTCAGGCACTGGGCTGCTCCTGAAAGCAATGTAGTCTTCTTGGAGCCCACTCTCCTTTGTCTGCTTTTGATTGATCAAGTGAAGAACCGCAATTAAGAAAGAGTCATCAAGAACAGAAGGAAAAGATTGCTAGCAACCAGGTTGTCTCAAGGCTTGCACACTGGCAGGGAAAGGCAAGGTTCTTCTATGTATATCATCTAGCAAAGTACCACATGAATCCATCCTAGTTTTAATTAAGATGATTTTAGAAAGACATTTATTTCTCCATTTTCCAAAGCATAATCCTTTTTCCTGTAATTGAATTAAAGTAGAAGTTACATGTCAAGTTTTTCCTAAAGACGATTCATTTGAAGGGAATAATGATAAAAACATCAGTAACAATTATAGAACACTTACCATATGCTGGCAATTTAACCCTATTACTTATCCATGCTTTACACGTGAAAAAACTGAAGCACAGGCTCAGTAACTTGCCCAGGTTCACACAGCTGGTAAGAATTGGAAACAAGATAGGTAGACTCCACTCCAGAACTTTCAACTACCTGATTAAAAAATTGTGCTGTTTCTTTGAACCCACCAGCCCTGGTGTACATGGCCTGGGCCCGAACTACTGAGCTACAGACGCCCAGCCGCAGAGCCAAAATTGTGCTGTTTCTTAATTCAGTGTTACAACAAAAAAATTTTATTGCTAATTTAAAATCTATTAAGTACTCAAAGCAGGCATTTATGTAAATGTAAACACAGCACACATTGTAATACATCATATTTTCTCCAAAAAAAAAAGATTGTGTTTTACCTGCCCATTTTATCCCAGGAAAAAGGTCTTTACTTTCCTTTGAAATGAAGAGTAACATTTAATTTTACTGGGGAACTGTTAAGATTATTTTGAGGTTCCAGTTATGCATAGCATGAAGATTTATGACAAATATGTAATCCGTCACTCAAGCGGGATAACTTCCAAATGTTTTCTCTTTATAACTCTTTATTGTGTTTGTTTTTAATGGCCAAATAGTCAAAAAACAATGTCTGAATCACATTTGCTCCAGTCAGGGTATACCAACATGTTGAAAGACGGCTTTGGTTATTTAGAACCCCACTAGATTTCACTTGCGACTTTGAAGAACATTCCTGCTTGAGTGGATTGGATTTTATAAAAAGAACAAGCAGAAGGAAAAGGAGGAGAAGGAGAAAAAATAGTCAAGTTGCGGCTCAAGTCCCTCAGCCATTTGCTGCAGTGAGTTTTCCTATTCCATTTTGCTGAGAAGAGAGCATGCTAAACAGATCAAATCAAACCGTCCGAAAAAGGCTGCCTGCATCCCTCATGTTTTTAGAAGAGAAGGATTTCGTTCCCTTTCCTTCACACATCAAAGAAAGCACTCGGAGAGGAAATAAACCATAATTAGGCATGAGCGAGCAGACAGACCCCTTCCTCTGCCCTCCCGTCCCCGCCCCCCAGGCTCTGGCGACAGTCCTGGGCGCGAGCGGAGCGGGGTACCGCAGCAGCTGCAGCGAACGCGCGTGCACGGTCGCGCCAGCCGCCAGGATTTGGGCGGCGGCGGGGCTGGCCCAGGGGCGCGCGCGCGCGCGAGCGCGCTCATGCAGCGGTTTTCTTCTCCCACAATCCAGAGGCAGCGGCGCGGGAGGGGCGGGGAGCCGGCGGAAGGATCTCGGCGCGGAGGGAGCAGCGCGCTCCTTTTGACGGAGGGCTGGCGGCAGCCGAGCGCGGCGAGCGGTGGGGTTGTGATGCGGCACTGCGGTTCTGAGGCCGTTACTCGGCTCCTCCAGATAGGGCGGAGGAGGAGGTCGGAGCGCGGCGGTGATTTTGTGCCCGGGCTTCCCGGAGGCACGCTGAAAAGGCTGGCCGGGCTGAAGAAGCTGGGGGGTTAGGGACGCACAGTCAAGCCCCCACCCCCTGGGAGGGGAAGGGGGCTGGAGCGAGGCTTGAGGGCTGCGGAGAGATGGTGCCTGGTCGGGGGAAAGGGGCGAGCCCTGCCTGTCGGTGGTGAGGGGCTGCGGGCAGCGGGGGCTCCGCGGGTCGCAGGGACGCCCTGCCCAGTGGGTGGAACGTGTAGAGCGGAACGCGAGGTCGAGCCTGGCGGCCCCTCGGAACCTTTAACGTGGTATCTAACGTGGTGTTTCATTTAGCCCACAGTGGGATTAATTCATTGGGGGCAGTGTCCCTGGTCTGGCTCCTCCAGGAGCTGGGCAACCTTGACGGGCTTTTTGTCTTGTGCTCCAGCCCCTTTTCCCTTCCTCCTCCAGATGCCTTTTCTGTGCCCCTCCTCGCCCGGTACAGACATTTCCAGCGCAGGCTGCTGCTCGTGGTGGCCGTCGAAGCTACTTCTCGGGATTTCGGCTGATTTCTCTCTGGGGTGTTTTTTGAGGAGAGGGACTTTCCCCCTCCTCCACGATGGGTTTTTCCTCCCTTGCCAGCATGGACTTTCATTGATTTTTACTTACTTCTTCAACGTTTAGTGACCAATTCCCTAGGCGTATTTTTGTGGTAGTTCCTTTTTTCATACACTTAGTCTGTAAAATGGAGAACGAGGTTTTTACTCCCCTTCTGGAGCAGTTCATGACCAGCCCCTTGGTCACTTGGGTAAGTGTGTGTCCTTCATTGTATATTTTGCTGTGTTATTTGTGGCTGCAGAGATGGAGGTGGGCGTTCATGTCGAGATGATCTTCTATTCTAGGTTAAAACGTTTGGACCTCTGGCTGCAGGAAATGGGACCAACCTGGATGAATATGTGGCTTTGGTGGATGGGGTATTCTTGAACCAGGTCATGCTCCAAATGTAAGTTTTTTCTTTTCTAGGTAACTTGTTTTCTTTTAAAAATAGCATGCGGTGAACTTTGAGACATTACCTTTTAAGCCCCTAATTTGGTTTTTTGGCTGGAAAAATTCAAGTGGCTTACCAATTTGGATCATGAAAGGTGTAATAATAATCTTACAAGCCCAGCCCGTATATCACAATCCAGTAATTTTACCTGTGAAAATCGTGAAACTTTAATTTTTCATTCTGCCAACCGTGTATTGTCGTTTATTGTCTTCAGTGCTGAAATCCAAACCACATTGTGCCTTCTTTGATAATTTGGTAAATAAGAGAGAGTGAGAAATCTGGTCCTAAGAGGGGAAAAAAGGCTCATCTGTAAAGTTATGTGCATTTAATGCATAAATGTTTCTTATTGACCTTTTATCTGAAAATAAATGGCTCACATTTTGAAACTGGTGAAGTAATAACATTTCAGAAGAGAGAATTTCAAACAACTGTTCCTGACTGGTGAAGACTCTTGCTGGAGCAAGTAATTTAAGTGCTTATAATAACTGAAGTCTAATTAGATGATTTGTTGTGCGATTTATTAGGGTGGTTAATATTTCCAGGATCATTTTAAGGTATTCATATAGCTTTTGAAATGCAAGTATGTGAAGTCTTGGTGACAACTAGGTGGTGATTTAGTAGGCAAATCTTTGTCTTTTACGTCTTATACTATTGGGTGTGCATTAAGTTGGAAAGTAGGTTTTTGAGATGGAGATTGAATATTGAAAGTATATTGGTAGCTGGATTAGTAAAATTAAAAACGCCACTTTTATCATTACAGGTATTGTAACATACTTGCATTCCAAGTAATTAATGTAGGTTATCAAACACAGTATTTCAGTTGTGCTCAAAATAATGTATATCCTAATTTCTCTTGAATAGAATCTGATTACAAGAGTAGTTTGGAACTTTTGATTTGAAGATGTTCTCATATGTCTTATATTTTGTATGTGTGGGAAATAAGTACATTATTAAGAAATATTTGTTACTAGAGATGTCTGTTCTGCTCTGATAATATTACATATCGAAGTCAATTTTGTATTTTGTTGGAAATCATTTTTCTGTTTAGATATTTCTGCTTAAAGAGGGTGTGAGATGAATCCTTAACTAACTGTTCCAGTGTTAACTTCTCTGTGTGCTCAAAGAGATTTGTAGTCTCTGTGCCCAAAGAGATTTGTGTGCTGTTTTTTCTGTGTATTGACCCTACAGCGAAGTATTATTTCCCTATACATTTTCTAAAATGGTTTTATTTGCATAGGCACCCAAAGAAATGTATGTCATTTAAATGTACACATATATTATATATATTTTTTCCCTTAGGAGAGGAAAAAAGAGTGTAGACATTAATTATTTCCAGGGTTGGTAAGTGTATTTTTGGCACCTACACCATGGAATTATTAGTAGTATTTTTTCATGGAATTATATTTTATCTTTGAAATATGTTACTATTTCCTAAGCTAAAAGGTAGGATAATTAAACTGATTTCTATTTTGGGGGAAGCCATATGACAGGAAGCATAGACATTACAGCAGATACTCAAAACTTGTTCTCTTATATCTCATCAGTTGCTTATTTTTAGACAGAAAAGTTTGAATTTGTGTGCTAAAAAATTATTTTTTCACAAAAATAGGAAAATATTTTAGTTTTCTACTCTAACAGTTTTACTTGAATGATTTTTTTCCCAAAAATTTTAGATTTTTGTTTTTGGAGTTCTAAGTACTTAAGGTGTTAAATACATTAGCTTGTTTCCACTTTGAATACAGTTTTATACTTAAAATACATATGTGTGTGTATTTTCAAAATGGTGTTCCAAAATAGTGGTTGCCAGGTTGTTTTTTTTTTTTGAGGGGGGGGTGATTTGCTCCTTTCCAGACCTCAATCTGCTTCTGTATTTTCAGTTCCACCTCCCAGTTTCTTTAGAAGTTTTTTCAGTGTCCTAATTCTGTTCTAAATGACCTATATTAATTAAAGGAAAAGAGAATTAAGAAAGAAGAAAAAGAAGTATTTTTTCACTTTTTAAAAAGTAATTTGCCAAAATAAGATCAACACAAATTTTAATAAAGTGCCTGATAGGGCAAGAGAATATGCATTGTTTTAAAAGTTGTATTTTACTAATTTTGAAATCATTAGGATTTCTTTTAAGCACTTTACTCAGGTTCATGTGAGATTGTGTACTCATTGTCAGTTGTAGGTCAGCCTTTACAATATTTTGCAAGCAAGAACTCTTTGTAAATGAAAATGTTTATATATTTCTTCTCTTTTTTTTTGTGGTTGGAGTTCCATGAGTGTCATGTCCCTGTGTGTTTGTAGTTTTATCAAATTAGGAAAATTTTCACCCATTATTTCTATAAATGTGTGTGTATGTGTACCCACATATATACATTTGTCTACTTTCCCCCTCTTGGAAGTTCATCACATGCATGTTAGACTGCTTGATTCTTAAAGCTTACTGATCTTCAATTCAATTTTTTTTGTCTTTGTTTCATTTTGGATAGTCTATTGCAATGTCTTCAAATTGATTAATCTTTCCTTCTGTAGGGGCAGTGCCTGTGGCTCAGTGAGTAGGGCACTGGCCCCATATTCTGAGGGTGGCAGGTTTGAACCCATCCCTGGCCAAACTGCAACAACAACAAAAATAGCTGGGCGTTGTGGCAGACGCCTGTAGTCCTAGCTACTTGGGAGCCTGAGGCAAGAGAATTGCCTAAGCCCTAGAGCTGGAGGTTGCTGTGAGCTGTGATGGTACAGAACTCTACAGAGGGCAATAGAGAGACTCTCTGTCTCAAAAAAAAAAAAAAAAATCTTCTGGGCAGTGCCTGTGGCTCAAAGGAGTAGAGAGCCAGCTCCATATACTGGCGGTGGCAGGTTCAAACCCAGCCCCGGTCAAAAACTGCCCCCCCCAAAAAAAGTCTTTTATTCTGTAATGTTTAATCTGCTCTTAATGCCATCCAGCACATTTTTCGTTTCAGACATAGATTTACCTCTGGAAATCTGTTTTTTTCATGCACTGACTTTTCTCTAGCTTCTGAACATAGGAAATGCAGTTATAACTGGTTTAATGTTCGTATCTATTCTGTGTATGACATTTTTTGATTGATTTTGAGTGACTGATATTTCTCCCTGTTTCTTGCCTCTGAATGCCTGGTAAATTTTTATTTGATGCCAGACATTTGAAATTTTACCTTGGAGGCTGCTGCATATTTTTGTATTCCATTAAATACAAAAATCTTGAGCTTTGCTCTGGGATGCATTAAATTACTTGGAAACAGTTTGATCTTCAAGGGACTTGCTTTTAAGGTCTTTTAGACAGTACCACTTTGTCTCACTATTGAGGCAAAACCCTTCTGAATACTGTGCCTGGTGGGAACAGAAACTGTTTTGTGGTGTTTCCTCTAATCCCTTTCAGTGGTTGTTTTCATTGTCTTTGGGTAGTACTCAAACCATGTACTGGGAAGCACTCAGCTGAAGACTTGAGGGATACCCCCTGCCGATCTTTCTGTGTAGCTCTCTCCTCTCAGGTCCTCTGCCCTGTGTACTTTAGCCACCTTGCTGTCTTTAGACTCAGTTCTATCTTCTCAACTTAGGGAGACCACTGTGCATTGTCTGGTTTCCTCCCTCCCTGTTGTCTGGCCTGGAAACTCTTCCAAAGCAGTAAGCCAGAACAATTGCTGGATTCATGTTTGTTTGCCATCTATCAGGGATTCACTGTCCTTTGTTGCCTGATGTCTAGTGTCATGCAAAATGTTTTACTTTCCTTTTTCCTCCAGTTGTTTTAGTCAGAAGGATAAATTTCATCTCTGTTACTCCATCTTGGCCAGCAGTGAAAGTCTGTCTATATACTTTTCTTTGTTGCTTTAGAAATGGGAATTTCACCAAGTTGCTCAAGCTGAAGGAAATGCAGTGGCTATTCACAGGTGTGATCATAGCACACTGCAGGCTGCACACTCGACCTCAAGCGATCCTCTTGCCTCAGCTTCCCTAGTAGCAAAGCCAGCGGGCATGTGCCATTGCACCTGGCTGTTTATATACTTGTAATTACATTTTTGCCCTGTTACACAAATATTGCTGATTTCACATGTGACATAGACTTTTTTTTATGGAGCTGTATGATAGAATTTTTAGAGTGTTAAGAATAAGGAAATTGATTGATGTAGTGATTCTGCTTTTGCCGTTTTGGACCCAGACTCCTTGAAAGTGAAGAGTTGACTGATTTGTGACACTGTTTCCTGATTCTGTCCCATAATTTTGTACTGTATTCACTGACTTGGGATTCATTCTATGCAGAGATGAGTCCTGGATTTTATTCAGTAGCTCCTGAATCAAAGAATCTGTAAGAACTTGTGACATGGCATCAGTCATCTTTAACTAATGGGAAGGGGGAAGCTATTTAGAGATCTAGAATGATGGGCTCTTCTGCAAGCTGCAGGGCATTTTCCTGCTTCAACAGAATGAAATATTTTTCTTCAATGTTAGTTGTCAGACTTGGGATTTGGTGGCAGTGAAATAGGAATAATTATTTTCCTATTTGAGATGTCATTCAGTTTTGTAGCCAATTTTGAATATTATTTCCTGCAAGACTTTAGGATGTTATAACTAATTTTCATATTTATAAAATTTTAAAAGTATGCTATTTATATTACCTAAACAATTTAAAATATGGGTATTTAGGTTTTTTTTTTTTTTTTTGTAGAGACAGTGTCTCACTCTTATCGCCCTTGGTAGAGTGCTGTGGTGTCACACAGCTCACAGCAACCGCCAACTCCTGGGCAGTTCTCCTGCCCCAGCCTCCCAAGTAGCTGGGACTACAGGTGCCCGCCACAATGCCCGGCTATTTTTTGGTTGCAGTTTGGCTGGGGCTGGGTTTGAACCCACCACCCTTGGTATATGGGGCCAGCGCCCTACCCACTCAGTCACAGGCGCCGCCTGGTATGTTAGGATTTTAGGTACTGAGAAAATTATTAATAGTATGAGAACAATAT